GAATGACCTGAGGGCCGCCGTCGTCCATCTCTGCAGGGCTCCTCTGCCAACGGGGCCAGTTGAGAGAAAGGTTCCCTTGAGAAAGGGAACAGGGCCCCGGTCGGAGGGAGCTGCTTTCAAAAATGTCGCCATAGGAACCTGAGGGCCAGAAAGGCAAGGACTGGGATGAGTTTGTCCTTGGGGGTTAGAGTCTTTCCACTGTGGCCTTCTACAGTTGAAGAAGCGCAGTACGCACTTATCTGCAGCTCTTTAACACACACACACACACACACACACACACACACACACACACACACACCACTTCCTAGCAAAAGAAGTGACAGTGACATGCTTTTTAATTATTGGCACAATTCCTGTGGCCACTCCAAACACATACGCCTAGACTCTGACAGGTCAGCCGACTGGTCGCACTGAATAAAACAGCTCTATTGCCAATTTATATTTCAGTAAAGGAAAGGAAATGAAACGGAGTCCAAGATCGGCATCCCGGGGTAGAAAACAACAGGGCATTTTCTCCGCCCGCCCCCATTTTCAGCATTTTCCAAATAATAACTGGACAAGCGTGTTCAGATTATCACAACAAGGCAAATGCTACAGAAAATTAATTTTCGAAACAAATGCAGTGAAGTTTTCAAGTTACACCCTACCTGTCATTCCGGGGTCTTTGGATCCACTTTTTAATGTTGAATGCCAAGTTCCCCAGATATTGAAAGGTTCCTCTGACATATCTAAGAAAAAGAGGATAAAAAGATGTACAACACAAAATGAAATTTTAAAGGCAAACTGAGCATCTCTTCTGTGCAAATGCCTTTGAGATTGCCCTGCAGAATACACTTCAGACCTGCTTTTTCAGGAAGCCTATTCCATTCAGAATTTACCGAAAGGCTCTTTCTAAATCATGGTTGGAGTAGACACACAAGGGTCCCCAAAGATGACCATACCATAATCTCCAAAACCTATAAAAATATGACCTTAAAATCAAAGAGGATTTGGCGGATGCACCCGAATTCTGGTTCCTGGCATAGGTCGATTTTGCTGCAGGACCCTGGCTGGGCCTAATATAAACACAGGGGTCCATCCAGGAGGCGGGTGAGAGGGGAGGTGCTGCTCTGTTGCTGCCTTGAAAGGTGAAGGAATGAGCAACACGATGAGGAATATGGCAGCACCTACAAACAGAAACGACAAGGAAATAGTTTCCTAGCACTTCCAGAAGGGAAGGTGGCCCTGCAGACCCATGGGAGACTTCTAACTGTGAGAGAAAACTTGTGTGCTTTAAGCCACCAAGTTTGTGGTGGTTTATGACGTCAGTGGGAGGGAAGTCATATAAGGTGACAACAGCCTCACACTCTCCAACCACACCGACATGGGGACAGGGACAGCAGCAAGAGCTTTGGAACCGCAGGCAGGAGCACCCTGCTAGCGGCGCACACAGAGGCGTCCCCGCCTCCTTCATCAGTCTCCCCTCAGTGTGTGCGCAAACAGCTACGGAGGAAGGTGCCCTGTTGGGCATCTGCACCACCTGCTTTCCTCCTCCTTACAACCCCATGGTGGGATCATAACTGACTTAGAGAAGCAAAGGTCTCCTGGGCGTCTCTGTGGTTCGGCTGCTCCCACACATTTATCTCCCTGCCTCCCTGGGGAATCCCCAGGGGATCACAGGACAGACGAGGTGACTAGTGCAAGGACAGGTGGGAAGCACACACAACCTTCCCCTGCCCAGGCCACCTAGTGCTTCTCCCATGCTAAGCGTTGCCTAAAGGGCTTTTCCTAGATTGGTTCATTTAACTCAATGAATTGGCCAGTGTCAGCACTCGTAGTCTTGGGGGAGGGAGGACTGTGCTGAGCTCAGGTACTCGCTTGAGTTCCTGCAAATTGGAAATGGTAGAGAAGGTTTCTGACTCCCAGTCCTGTGCTCTGGTCATAGGACACTGACACCATCTGGTTCTGACGTGCTGTCTTGTTACACAGTAGGCTGTGCTTGTCCTTTTTAGGAAAGTAACAGCAGTCATTGGGTGACATGCTAGAGTAGCAAACGTGCAAGCCCTAACCCACTGCCGGGACACAAAATCCTTGGCTATCGGAGGGAGAAGCTGGGACTGAGTAGCTCCTCTGGGCATGTGCACTTTTCCTGGATGTCTGAGAATCAGGATGTGGGCGGCAGGGACCCTCCAAGACATCACCAGGGCCTCCACCCCTCCCTCTTCCTAGAGTGGGTGTTCAGCTCGTGGTCCGCAAATGCTCATGGAGTTACAGAAACATCACACAGAGGACAAACGAAGAGGAGCCGCAAAGCGCTCCACGCTGTTCCACATGCAGAGAGCCGCTTCCATTACCTTTTCCAAGCCTTGGTCCAGGAGAACTTTCTCTTGACTTTGACTTTGATGACGGCAAGTGGCCCACCAACATATACTTCTCTGGCACCTTGTAAAGTATCTCCGAGCCCCCCGGAGCCCTGTCCTCTTGCATAGCCAGCAGGGAGCGCTCAGGTAACACAGGGGAGTTGTTGTCATAAGGGGAGATGTCTCCACTGGAGGCTTTGTTGGAGTCTGTGGATGAATGCCTCCCTCCCATGGAAAAGGAAACGTCCGACTGTAGCATGTCAGGGCTTCTGGCACAACAAGAGAATGGCATGTGTGTGAGCGTGTACAACGATGAGTGATCAGATTTAAATAATATGATCATTGCACAAATGACAGGAGGGGAACGCATGAGGACTGACACAAAAAGACCTTTTGAGCCATGTTTCAACATCTCTGCATTAGGGGAACGCGTTTCCACAGAACGGTCACTAGATGGCAGCAAAACACAACAAATGTAACAAGAACCAGCACCTCAGAAAGGGAGGGGAGCAGAGGAAATCCTAATGGCAGCCACAGCAATATTTGGCCAGCAGATGGCAGTGAAACCTAACACATGAAGTAAAATACCAGGAAGGGCGCGGAACGGAGTGAAAAGGATCTCTGTATTCGCCGATATGCAGCCAGCAGAGGGCCGCGACAGGACCGATGTAACAGAAAGTGTCAGCCAGGGGAAGGATGGAAAATGAAAGAGATGGATCCTCGTGTTCGCCAACGTGCCTCGCTGAAGTGCGCTCTGGATTGAGTCCTGATTCCATTTCAAAATTAGAGCCTGATGATCGTTATCTACTAAGAATAAACTGGTAGCTAACTCGTCTGTTTCAATATCCTCACTTCAGTATAGTTCAGATAAAACTACGGTTGACCCTTCACTGTATGTTTATTACGGCTGTATGAATAGTCTTTCTTCTAAATACTTACTGTAAATAAACTCCTCTTTCCCATGATGATGATGATGATGGTGGTGGTGGTGATGATGCTACCGGTGGGGAGGTTTCATGTGGCCAAAAATATACATATGATCATCATTAAGAGTCCCCTGGGTTTAAATGCACTTAAAATGATTTCGCAAGGCACTGATGCTCTTACAAGTTGATAGATGACGTGCTGATGAACATACTATTAGCACATACACAAGTGAGGGAGGTGTCACAGCAACAGAAATAACAGGGAAAATGTAAGTGGAACAGAAAAACAAGAACTTCGGAAACATGAGAAGACTGAGCAAAATCTTACCTGGAAACAACTTTATTTTCTACCTTCAAAACAGTGGCCCTGACAACATCTTAAAGGGAAATGATCAGAGGTTGATTAGAAGTTGCAGAACCTGCTCCTTTGCCTCCCACACTTCAGTTTTCTTTACTGCTTTTTGCTTTCCTTTGGTTGACTATTTCCAAACAAAAGTCTTTGTGGCTTTAAGAAGATAAACACAGTCCTGCGCAATGCTTTCCCAACCAAATGGTTTTGTGCGTGCAAAATGGAGGCGACATCACACTCATAGGGGGACCCAGCTTTGTCTTGGGCTTCTGGCAAGGGTCAGTACCCAGGGGAAATAGGCCAGCGCCTGTGGTATGCCGTGCCTGTCACCAAGGCAGCAGGGCTCTAGCATGTTTGCCCAGGACATTTCCTACCCACATGGAACAAATCAGTCCTTCCCTTGCCTCCTCTTTGAACTGATATCAGACAATCTCATGGGCAGCAGCCAGGGGACAACCATGAGGATGATTTTCCAACTCTTTAGGGCGCCAATGAATTTGAAGAAAAAAAAAATTAAAGGAACCTAACTATTTCTGCTGGAAAGTAGTGGTGGGCTATTTAACCACCATATCTAATTAAAAGGGGAAAATCTCCCTATTTCTGGCTGAGGGAACAGAAAACAAAACAAAATGGACACTTGTCTGTTGTCGTGGGGCATGACCCTGCTTGAGAAAAGTTTACAAAATTCAGAAAAATCGAATATGTTGAACTAACACAGAGCTCTGCTCAGAATCAGGGTTCTATGTTTGGAACAGGGCTGTACACTACCCTAGTGGGCTAATTTCGTTTGTTCTCCATGCTCAGGTGGTACTTTTCTATACATTAATGAAAATGTCCTGGGTCTACTCGAGAAGAATAAGTCATAGTTTGCCATTGACAACAGTAAGTACATAAAGCCTTATTTGATGGGAGGTTTTTAAACGTCAAGTCTATTCGTGAGGCCAAACAAAATAACCATCAGGGCTACGAGTGTTTTGGTTTTGCCTCCTCCTATTGGGAAGGAACTTTCAGGAAGGTCATACTGTAGCTCCAAGAGACCACAATAATTGTTTTATCTGTCTTATGAAACATGCCGAAGAGAAAACAAATAACAAAATACTATAAGTTGCAGATTCCATCAGGGGTTGTGTGCATAAAGAAAGATACCTCATGGAAAAAAATTCTCGAAGTACTTGGGACATTTGGTATTCAACTGAGAGAGCAGATTATCTTTGCCCTATGGAACCATGAGTTGTGTCATGCTGTATTTCTGAGTGACTGCTCGGAGGGTCAGAGGAAACAGAGCTCCATCCGAGTTGATATATGGCAGCATGCTTGCCTTTTGTGTTTTGCATTGACGTTTCATTTTGTCATTCTCCTGTTTTCCTTTTCTCAACTCCCCAAATTACTTACTATGATATTGTTCCACTTCAGAGCTTTACATTTCATTCAGAAAAGTGATTCGGGACTGATGTACGGACAGGGAAATTATACTTACATTAACTGTTGGGGAAGGGTGCAGAAAAAGCAATGTGCCTCATGACAGCGTTTAGTTTGGTGGAAACAAAACAAGGACAATAACAACAATCACAAAAGTAAATGAAGTTGCTTCACCAATCTTTCCTCCATTTTCATAGTTCTTATTGGATCCCATCACGTAGAGGAAGGGAGCAGGAGGGAGAAGGCCCTTGTCCGTTTCCTCTTTCCTCTGAGTTGATTCTGCAAACTCTGATTTCATGGGTGTGAAATGGTAAAGTGGATTCCCTGTGGCGGCATCACTTGAGAACTTGTTGGAAACGTAAATTCCAGAGTTCCATTCTGGAGTTACTGGCAGGATGGGCTACCTCCATTGTGGGGCCCAGTACAAGATGGACATGTAAGGCACCATGCTAAAAAGAAATAAGGAATTTCAAGACGGCCACCGGGAGTCACTAAGTGAAATATGGGCCTCTTCTGAGTGTGACATCAAAGCCCAGGTATCTAGCTTTGCCTACTGAAAGGGGAATTGTGAGGTGAGCCCAATGGACTGTGTTTCAAAAAGAGCTACAGTTGATTCTGATGCACAAAAATGTTTGAGAACCTCTAAAAGCCAAACCTTCCTTTCCTTCTTCAAATTACAGGTGTGACAGAAAGCTGAGAGTCTGCTAAGAGCCAAAGCAGGAGGAAAAATACAGATGGCAGCAAATTGCAGCAGTGGATGGAATGGGGGTGAATATGGTGGCCGTGACCTTAGGGTGGCTGGGGCCAAGCTTGGGGAAGGAAGGCAGGTGTGCACATCCCGGCCGCTTCTGGACCTCCTCTGTCTGTCATAAGCAGGCTGCAGACAATGAAATGTAGTCTGATTGTGATCAGAATGCACTGAAGTGTAGGGAAGGGCAGGAAAGGTCGCCTGGACTTTCAGGCTCCTGATTCAGTCTCCTAAGTCAAGCACCAAAGTGATCAGAGCTGGGGCCTCAAATAGGAAAGCCATTTGGGGAGGCGGCAGGAGCTACTCCCTAGACATAGAGGTGGATGAGTTGTCTTACAGTAGGCACAGATCATGAACCCCGTCAGGGTGGCTGAGGTCACAGCCAGGGGTATAGACAGAGAGGGCCATCTACTGAGAGACGATGGCTTCCTTTTTAGCCCCCAGTATATCCCAGCCACGGAAGGGAACAAAGTGTGAGTACACATGGCAAACAGCTTGAGAAACAGACCTAGGGGAATAACCCCTTGGCCTGTAAGAAAAGGAAAAGTTTATATTTATACGGAGTTCCTCATGTGGCAGGCGCTGGACTAAGCTACTGTTAATAACTCTTTGTTCCAGATCTCAGTATGAAAATGAGGCAAAGTAACAGGGACTTGTAAATAATTTATGTTTGTAGCAGTAGAGGCAGTAGGGGTCGGGAATTCTTGTAAACTGTACTTGCTAAATAGTATTTAACATTAGTACAACTCAACAGAAAAGTAGTATAAAATACATATCATGGAGTCCGTGGCCTTTTATTTTTATTTAGTTTTTCATGGCCTTTTTAAATGTTTAAAATATTTTCCTATCTATCATTTTATTTTCCCACCAGAGGTCAGAAAGTAGCAGCTAAATATGCCTAAGAACCCATTCCAAAGAATTGTCAAATCTAGAAAACCATACCGCCCTTTGGGGAAATCTGAAAAAAAAAAAAAGGGACAAACAGCCACAAATGCCTTCTCTCAGATTTGTCTTGGAATATTCCAACTCTAAGAAGTCAGTTTTGAGTTGAGGGCCTTAAGTAAAGGCATTAACACAGTCACGTATGGATTTCTGGAAAAGATTTCCTCCTATCAATGATGCACTAGAGGAGGAGCTGTCTAAAGTATGTCTTTCTATGCCTTGTACTTTGCTGAAAGGCTGGGTAGGGCAGTTGTCAGTCTGCATGGGTCTGGGCCCCAAAGCACGCAGAGGCTTCTCTTGCCAGCCTCAGAGTGTAATGGATTGAGGCTGAGGGTGTTGGGTGGGTGGGTTGGAGGCAACACCGGTTTGCCTCCGTAGGTGGAGGGTTTCCTCCGTAGATCCCCAAGCCCCTGGACGGTCCTAGGCACCCATGACCGGTCTCAGCTAACCAACAAGCATGGGATGGGCATGGAGAGCAAAGCACTTCCTCACCCTCAGCTGGTCCCTCCATGTCAGGGTGTAACCACGCTGGCAGAGCCCTGTGAGCAGGCCTGCGCGGCAGCCGGAGCCCCAGAACTTGTTCTGTAGATAGATGGAAAACTCCGGTTCAATCACCGGATGTAGCCAGTTCAGGCCCTTGCTGGGCTCTCTCAGTGAGAAACACTCCCAGTGATTTCAAAAGTGCCTTGTCTTCAACCTTGGCTCAGTGGTTCGACTGATAAACTTCAGTCTATTGGAATGCAAAGCTCCTAACCATCTTAGGCACTATTAATTGTAGTAGGAGAGGAATCCACTGCCGGAGCAGCTCTGGAGTTATGGAGGATTTTCACATTAATCACGCTCGAGTCTGCAAAGCCTCCCTGACGCAGTCCTGGGGAAGAGTTCCCCTCTCCAAAGAGGAGCTGAAATGGGTGCAGCCTCCCCAGTGGATGATGAAGCCAGCACCCCGGGTCCCTGGTGACATTTCTCTGCTCATTTTCAGTCACGATTCATTCCCTCCAGTTAGCGTTTATGGAGCATTTATGACAGGTAAAGACAAAACAATGCTGCCTTTATTCCTCTCATTTACAGTGTGCCCAATAGCACATGTTCAAATTACTATTTTACAAATTTATGAAGAAACCGAGAATCACAGTGAAGATGTTTGAAGGGAGAGAGGATGAGATACATTATTCCTCCGCCCTGGATGGCCTTTCCTTAGCAGGAAGGCATAATGATGCTTTTTGGAATATTTCATTATGGATTTCTGTTTTACACGTAAGTTTTCCCTAAAACTTTCTAGCAGAAAAAGCTTTCTTGAATGGCATATATGTGTGGGGTGCTTGTGCTTCATCATTTGTGGGGTGCTGGAAAGAGAAGAGAGGTGAAGCCACCCGCCGCTGCCAGTCAACAGTATTCTTTGCTGTTATACAGTAAGTGCAATCAGGTTTCTTGTCTCTGAAAATGTCCTGGAAACCTTTCTGATTTGACAAATCACAGTAGATGGAAATGAGAAATACAACCCATCTTGCAACCACTCCACAGATGTGTGGAACAAGGCATCTTTGACGACAATCTTTGAAACATTAAAATGAACTGCCCATGTGATCTGTATCTGATGGTCTCAGTGTGATACCTTTCAATGACAAGACAGCTTTGACGCTCCCCAGAATGAAGCAGGCATACTTATTGTTCAGCTAAACGGAACCATTCTTTTTTTAGTGCTGAACAGCTATCTTTTGAGACAAGTACACGTCTTCATCCTTGGTCCAGATTCCCTGGTCACCAATATATATATATATATACCCTTGGGTTTGGTTCATCCATATCTGCCTTATCCGTAAATATGGCTAATGTTTTGATCCCGTTCCCAGAATAGGAAGTAGGGAAGACACTCAGATTTGCTGAGCTGTATTATATTTCTGGGCCAGCTATGAGGTTTGATGGGATAAGAATATTGTTATACGTTTTCTCAAACCTACATTTAAAAATTATAAGAACTGTTGTCACAGATGATCTGAAGGCTGCTGAATTCTCCTGTGCATTGGATTCGTGGAGAATTTTATATAAATCACATTCAGATCTGCAAAGCATCCCTTATGCCAAATTCTAGTGATGTGAGGCACCGCAGGCAAAAAGAAAACAGTGTACTTCTATATACACAATTTTATGCATGGTTAATTTTTCCCCTAGAACATTAAAGCAGTAAGAAATACTGAAATAATGAAAAGGAGATATATTAAAACTTAAGCTTAAATCCCTTACTTATACTCAAATAAAATTTCATTATTATTTGATTTCAAGTTAACCTAAGTAAAAATTATTTAAGATTGTCACTGGCCGAGAGAAACTGTCCAGTATAGCAGTTGTCTTGGTTAAAAATGAGATAAGCAGAGGAGATTTTAAAAATATGATTGATGAGTAGCTTCCATTTAAGTCAGTGGCACACGTTTTACCTTTGGCTAAGTTTGGCACTGGTCTTTTCTAAAAGTTGATATTTCATTCATCGTTGATTTTGAAGATTAACTTTAATTTTGCAAAATGTTACATTATCATTTAGTTAGCATTGATGACTGAGTTCTGGGGCATGCCCTTCAATTTTGTGCCTAGGTAAGTAAGCGCCTCCTTTGCTCTCTCCTGGACCCAGATCTGCTATGCTACCTTTGTTCTCTTGCACTTGCAGACATTTGACCTGCCCTGTCCTCTTCAATTAACCTCCCACCCCCATCTCCAACCTCCTCACATTCCTAAATCAAAGGGAGGGATCTATTTTAAGTACCTTTGAAGAAAAGAGTATATAATTCTAATGAATGCACCAGACAAGCAATTTTTTGAAAACTGTAAGTTTTGCATTTTTTTGTAATAAAAAAATCTCTTCTAATCTCCCTGTGGCATCCTATTTTGGTTGAAGCCAAAAATTTAAGGAGACAAGCACATAAAAAAATGATGACTTCTCCTTACTCTCCTCCAATTTTCATGTTGCATAAAGTAGGGAAAAACCCAAAGCAAAAGAAAACATTCAGTCCCCAAATATCACTAAAAGTTTGCTTTTTCAAAACAGAAATAATAATAAATATTTTCGTGCCCTTGGTTTTACACTCTTTAGAACTTGTTTCTTCTCCCCTCCAAATTAATTTTTTTGCAGTTTCCACTTGGTCTCACAGGAATCTTAAGCTGTATTTAGGTATGTGAACTTGGGGAAAAAATAGAAGCTTTGAGAAAAAAAACCCAAAGTGTCTGTCTGAAGTGTATAAGGAATTTTGCTTTTAAGAGTCTCATGCTCTATGGACTGAGCTAGCCTTGTGCTAGGAGCTTTGCTTTTCAAAACAATGGCACAACTTAAGGTGAATGAGTTCTCTCTTGGGCCGTATTACCTGGTAAGCAACTGTAAATGAACCAAATGGTGAAGTCTGAAGTAACCCAATAATAATTGTTAACACTTAGTAAGCATTTATTATAAATCGGGCACTATTTTAAGAGAACAAGAATTATATAAAGCTCGTGCTACTTTTATCTCCAGTTTATAGATAAAGAAACTGAGACCGAGAGACAGTCATTAATTTACCCACGATCACACTACTAATAACATTGGAGCTGGAATTTGAATTTAGGAGATCTGGCTTTAAACTTCAAGCTTGTAACCAGTGTGTAAAATTACATAAGCACATAGTATTATGGGTAATTGATATGCCAAGGAAGCCAGCTCCATATGTCAGGTTGGAGCATTGTAATTTACTATCACTGTAATATGTGACTACAGCAATCTATTGTCACTTGTAACCCTACATCACTACTTCCTGAGTTAAGTGCCACTTTTCAACCTGCTATTTAAAGGTCTCTTCCTACCTTCCTTATCATGTCCCCAGACAGGCAACATGTTCCCTCACACCCTTGTCTTCCAAGATCACTGCAAATGCTTCCTTTTCTCAGAAACCATCCTTGAGATTGCAAGTCACACCTCTTTCTCATCTCTGAACTCCAAGTGGATGTATGATCTGGAGCATTGTTTCTCTTTATCAATGCAGGATAGCTACTGAAGATCAAAAATCACCCCCTCAAAAACCTATGGGATTGTAAATGCTGTACATAGAATCCAATTTAGTAGATCTGAGCCATAAGTTCACAGCCCTGGCTGTTCACTGGAACCATGCAAGGAGCTTTTCCAACTCCCAGCGCCCAGACTGCCACCCACAACAAATGAATCTGCACCGCTGGGGCGGGGGATGGTGGTGGTGGTGGTCTCCTAGCTGTCCTTTAAGCTCCCCAGGTGATTAGAATGGACAGGTCAGTCTGAGAACCGCAGACCACAGGTCTAACACCTATCATCTTTGCATTCTGCAAGTCTGACAGATCTTACAGGCAAGAAAATGCCTTGATATTTTAAGCTTTCCTTACTCAAAGCATGGATCATGGACCCATGATCAGTATCACTTAGGAGTTTGTTAGAAATGCAGATTCTCAGAAGTCCTTGCCAGGCCTCCTGATTCAGAAAGCAGGACCTCTGTATGCACAGTGGAGTTTGGGGAGCATGTGTTTAAGGCACACAGAGCCCACCTAGAGCTTGAGTGATAAGAGCCTCTGGCCTCAACAGGCCATTATGAATAACTGTTCTTTCATTAATGCATACACTTTTACTTTGTGACATCATCATCAGTCTTCTGGGCTATTCTTTGGCCTATACCTAGAGAAAAACAAACAAAAACCACTTCTCCCTACTAAGTCAGTCTTGCCAAATGTTTCCCGCTATCTGGTAACACTCATCGCTCCCCAGAGCTCAGCTTCATAGCTCAGAGGCCCTAACACTCACCTGAGATCTTAGTCTCAGGTCAGTTCACACAGACCTTCTAGTTGTACTTCATACTCTTACAGGGATGGAGGACAAAAGAGGCTGGACAATTACACAGCTTGGCGACAGCTTTTTTCTCCCTTTTGCATAAGAGTAGACAAAGAAGGTTCACTTATTACCTTGTCATTTATGTGCAAAAAGCATACTTTAAGTATGCTTTTAAAAAGAATTCACATCAGTGGGTCTTTAGAGTACAAAATGTATCCATCTAATAATGCTACACAAAAACAGAATGTTGATGAGTCAAAACTCGGTGTTTTAAAAAGTATATGTTTTCTAGCTTTTCCACAGAGTACCAAGGACGTGTTATAAATGCAGCTTGATGAGAGATTCACAAAGAGAAATGCCACCACGATGGTTTTCGTGCACAGAGGACATAAATGAGTGAGTTTGTTAAAATTCTGGTGGAACATGATCTGCTGAGAAGAAAGGCCACTTGGTAGTTTGAATGAGAACTCACCCCTTGATGATAGACATCTAGGAAAAACTTTAATGCAAGCCCAATATTGATACCAAAAGCAAGACCATGGAATGCCAGCCCATTTATACTTTGAATATATATATTTGTTTAATTCTCTCATGGCTCTTGGGGCTTGGATCCAAGCAGAACATCTTACTTGAACCAGAATTTGGCCTGATAATGACTGGCACAGACTTGAATTTTTAAAAGTGCATTTGAAAGGGTGATCCAATTACAAGCTCTTCCCTGCTCAGCTGGAAATGGAGTGAGGCTGAATTTAGCAAGGCTATTACTGTAATGGCCTGAGAAGGAAGGGGACTGAGAAATGCGGAATTCCTTTTCGCTAAATTTCTCTCAATAATATAAATGTGTTAATGTCTATAACAATTGGAAATGGCAATTAGTCAAATTTCATATCAATATATAAGAATAACTGAAGATAGCTCATTGTTTCTGAGACACAGCTGAGTAAAGATATACTATTATTTTATATATGACTGAGAAAGAAAAAAAATGCTATGAATTTTTAAAATAGTGAAACCTGAGAGGAAACATATCTTAGAATTGTTGAAATTCAGTAGATTTAAAGCACAGCATAAATGGTACTCTCATAAGATAACAACAACAACAAGTTTCCCTATGACAAATTTAAGGTTTGGCGACTTGGTGGTGATATTGCTCCTAATTAACCATACAATATCATCCCCTTAACTGACTTCTCCAAATTCTCAGCACTCGCATATGTTCTGCTTCCGTAAGCAACTATTGGGACGAAACATAAAATCTGATTAATGTAAGACTTTTGTACTCCTTCAGGGGAAAAATGACAGCCAAGCATAGCCTACAGCGTGCCTAGCATCTTTCTCACTAGAAACTTGGGTGACTATGGAAACCAGTGTGCATTTTCATCAGAAGAATCCTACTTATACTCAGTGGAAAAGCCAAGAAAGGGCTCACCTCTAATTTCAAATGAGCACCTAGGCCTCAGTGAAGGCCCATTTGTGGTTTGATAATGTGCTGTGGCCACTGGAAAACTGCACAATTAAGATAGCTCTAGGCACAGCCTGATGGGCCTCAAGGCACAGTTATCAAGATTCTGGAAAATGAATTGCTGAGAGGCACCATAGTCCTTTGAGCTTCTTGCCAGTGATTTAGTGCTTTTCTCCCCCAGTAAATGCAGAGAGAAGGACCTTAATGGGCTAGAAAAAGCTGAAAAAGAAATGTACTGTAAAGTGGTTCCTTAATTCGATAAGTGTGCACTGGTAAGACCGGAGCATTTTCTAGTTAGGCGGATTGATCAGAGTTGCCAGAAAGTTGCTAAAACTCCACTTCAGCCACCCTGCATAGAGTTATGTAAACATTTTTAATTCCTTAGAAATGGAAATAGAAATCCCCAGCGTGGCATTAGAGGATGGAAAACTGGCATACTCACGAAGATTGGGAAGCCTTCCTTCTGAGCAAATAGTCCACGACATCAGGATCTGTCTCTAACAGGCTGATCAGCACTTCGTTCTGGAGATCTGGGGGAACCTGGAGGAGCCAAGCGTTGAGGCATAAATAAAATCATTCCATGGAGAGGCAACTTTATGACATCATAAAACAGAGCTTTAAAAGTTATAAGAATGCAGAGTGATTTACTAGTTAAAACCAAACCAACACCAACTCATACAGCTGGTTTAATTCTTAGGATAAGCAGGATGGTTATCAAACAGTCATATTCAATCCAAAATGTTACCCCTCCCATGCTGGGAGATACCGCCTAGTCATTTGGATACCTCTGTTGCACAGACTAGATGTTCTTGGCTTTGGGAAAGCAAAATATTATAGTTAAGAGGAAGGGTGTCCATAACTCACTGTCCAAATGGGGACACTTTCTAGAGTTCATATATTGAATCATGCCAAGACAACAGGCATAAATTAAAACTGCCTGGGGCAATTCTGGAACAAATGATCAGTTTACTAGGAGGGCAGGCCCTGGGGCTAGACTACTTGAATTCTAGCTCCAACACTTCCTAGCTGTAGGAGCTTTGACAAGGCACTTCGACAAGAAGCTAACTCTCAGCTTTTCCACCTGTAAAACGGGAAAAGCCCTAGGTCTTACTACAAAGAGCGGCTGTGGTGATTAAGTGACTTACTTTACATTGAGCTAACAGTAACTGGTGAATGGCAGACACCCCAAAAGAAACAAAAATGCTAACACTACCTTTGTACCTGTTACTACCATTTGGTGCCTGCCTTCAGTCTTTCTGGCTCGTAGTTACAAGCGCCCATTTCCTAGTCCACTAACAAACATTTCTCACTTTATAATTTCATAGGAACCCACTAGCATTTCATTCATGAGCATCATATGCTCCTCTAAGCCTGATCTGCATGCACTGCCTTAGGAGAGGGCCCTAAGTCACCCATGTGGAAATGTTCTATGAGACAAGAGTGAACCCAGCTCCGGCTCGTGGTTTTCTACTCCATAGATCCTGGTAGTTCAACCAGAGGAAACTCAAACTTTTGAAAGAAAATACGTTTACAGTCTGATTCTCTCACACATGGGCTCAGAGAGATGTTTTTAAAACCACAGGGACAAGTCTTCTGAGAATAAGTGGTTGGTGGAAGAATTTGCCTCCTGCCTCGTGCAGAGCTCAATTGCTCTTGAGCTCCGAGGAGCTGGAAACAATTTATTAATAAAAACAAGGATGAGAAAGCAAGAAAATGCTTTCCTTCTCTCATAAATCAGTTCCTCCTACTTCATCCTGAATCTTTATTAATGGCATTTCCAAGTCCGAGTCACATAAGCTTAAACTCTTCTAGGTGTATTCTAACCATTCTGTGCCCTCTTCCCACCCCTTCAGAGTCAGAAGGTCTACTTGATTTCATCTCTGTGACTTCTTTCCTCCCCCTTCCTTTCTAACAGCAATGACCCCAGTTCAAGCCCTCATTAGCCCTTTGTAGTGGTCATCTGTTGGCCATTACAAAGCCCATTTCCCCCTTCTTATAATAGTCATATCCTAAGTTCCCTCTGGAAAACCAACAGAACTGGTCCCCAACCCTCAGCTCAAGGGTTACGGGTGCACCCTAAACAAAGTTGCCCAATCATTCCATTCTTAGACCACCATGGTGGCCTGAGAAACAAGCCTGTGGCCCCATTGGAGGCAATGCAAAGCCATGAGAATTTCTCTGAGGCTTATGAGAGAAGGGACACAGTGCCGGTAGCCATCTGAGGTCTGAAGATTTTGCTGACAAATAAGCAAACATAAGAGATGGAGAAACAAACAGAAAAAAAAAGGAACAGTGTCTTGATAGCATTTGAGTCTGGTGTCAAGCTATGCCTGAAGTCACAATTCTTTTCAATTTTTTAGCTGTATGAGCCCCCAAGTTTCTTAAGCCAGTTTGAATTTATAGATGAAAAGAAACATGCGTATTTGATGGACCTTTGATGTAAAAACTTACTAACTTGTGCACTATTTCCTTAAAATGTGCATCAAAATTCTTCTCCACATGGATGTCAGAATGATCTGATCAAGATACTCACTTGCATGGAACCCTTCCCATCCCCACAATTGCAGCCCTGTACTTGCTCACTCTTCTCAATAAATATTTTATGTCTTCTCTCCTAGCAGCCATCCTCCCACTCTCTCTGTTTCAGCACAACTGTGCTGATCACCAGGGCCTTTTGCAGACTCTGTACCATGAACTCATTGCATAGATCCTTGGCGAATGCTTCTTGAGTGCCAGACACAGGATGTTAGGATTCACTTACAAACCAAGCAGCCTAGAGTCCTTCTCCATGTAGAGCTGACAATGAATCTGGGAAAATGGGCATGAAAATATAAGGAAAGCATAGCATGGATCATGTGGAGAAACCACAAATCAAAGAAAGGCAGTCAGAAATGCTGGGAGAGGTGGTGCAGGGTCCAATAGGATGGTCAAGTCACATGAGAGCTGTCATTTTATTGGAGAACCAAAGCTGATAAAAGAGTTGGAGACAATCATTACAGAGAGAAGGAAGAAGATAATCAAGAGACAATGAGAAGGCCAGTGGGGCTGGGAAAGAGCGAGGAAGGAGGCAAGTAGTGGGAGGGTGGGGTCAAGGAACCTGGGTTAGACAGCACGGAGTCCTCCAGTTCACAGTTGGACTTTGGTTCTTCTTCAAAGTGGGGGGAGCGCCACCGGAGATTTTGAGCAGATGACTAATACCAGTTGTAATCAGTCTAGCTGCTTAGTTGGAAGTAGATTTCAGGGAAGCCAGCTGTAAAGCAGGGTGAGCAGACAGGGGCTTCTAATAGACCCAGATCTGTGATGATGGGCATCACACAGTGAGAGAGATGATGAAAAGTATTTGAATCTTGAAGATAATGTAGAGGCTGACAAAAATTTATTATACAGCTAATTTATTGGATGGAAAGGAAGAGAATGAAAGGGAGAGAGGGTGAGCAGTACTTGGGAGCCTGAGCAAACAGAAGAATGAGGTTGCTACCGACTTTCTCAGAAAAGCTCTAGGAAGAGAAGAAGGCTGTGGGGAAGCGCAAGAGCTCAGCTTTGAAATGGGAGTACTGAGAGGTCTGTGAGACATCCCAGTGGAAATATCTAGTAGGTAGTTGGGAATAAAGATTCGGAACTCAGGGGAGTGGTTCTAGCTGGACACAGACATTTAGGAGTCACATATAAGTTGCATTTAAAGTTCTAAAACCAAATGCAATGACCAGAGAATTAAAATGGAGAGAGAAGACAAGGAGTAGAACAGTTAAGTCAAGGCTAAGAGACTATATTCTTTTACTGTAGTGTGCAAGTTGAAAAAATGAAAATACTGATCATTTTCACTGGACTTTTTCAAACATCGTGACCTAACAGACATATGCAATTTGTGTCAGTCACTTTTTCCATGAGTGGGATAAAATACCTAACACTTGCAACTTGAAGGAGAAAAGGTTTATCTAGCTCATGGTTTCACAGGTTTTGCCTCATGGTTGGCTGGCTCCAGGGCAGGAACATCACGGCAGACGGGGACGATGAGGAAATCTGCTCAGGCCATGGTAGACAGGAAGTTAGCCCGGGAAGAGCACAAGCAGAGAAGCACCCTCTAAAGACAAAACCCCCCATGACCCACTTCCTCCAACGGGGCCCCACCTGCTAGAAAATTCAGTTATGAGCTCATCAGTAAATTAATCCTGACGAGTACAGCGCCCCATGACCCCATCACCTCTAAACGAGTCTTTTAATCCAGTCAACTTGAAAATGAATATTAACTGACATACTTCTGTATGAGTTTTTAAAAAGTAATACTTAAGGGTGAAATGGGAAAAAAGAACACTTTTTTAAAAAGCAAAAGGGACAGAAAAACATAACATAACACAGGCCAAAATGTATACCCTGAACTCCTGTCAAAAGGAAATATCCAGGAGCAAACTAGGAAAATTGCTTGCATTTTGGTCCATTTAATTTAAAATAGGCTAGGCTCCAGGTACCAATCCATTCCCCCTGAAAAATGAGCAAGAGTAAATGTCCTTTGGAATGGTGCAGTGATGGCAATACGAATTCTTTGAGAGTGTATGGTATGTCTAATGATAAATTATCAACTTGTACCATTAGAATAACAACTTGTTTTATTAGAATAGGCTACAGGAAGCATCATTATTTAAAAATAACTTTCCACAAATTTTTGATAACCTATTCTGCATTTCAGAATTTTCCATTCATTCAACTAGGCTTGACTGCCAAGCAATTATAATTACTGAAATTTAGTTTATGTAGCATATGTGACTCTTACTCGGTAACGAATGCAAATAAAAAAGGGTAGGAATGTAGTAAATCAGTCTATAGTTTAAGAGACATGATAGCATTTTGGCATTGAGATGCTATTTACAAGTAAATAAAAAGATACAGTTAAAATAGGGATTCGCACATTACAGGAAGGATTTATAATATTTTCCTAGGTATTATAAAAAACTCACCATAATACATATTACACTGATATATTTTCCATTAATTAACCTAACTTATTTGAATACAATCTTTGCTGCAAAATGATTTAAGAAACCTTCAAAAATTCATATGATAAAATCACATATTTTTTTAAAAATTAATGGTACAGAAATTTAGATTCAGAGGAAAAATGAGGTAGGTAATTTCAATGATGCCTAGAGTTGATCTTATAATGTTCATATCACAGCATCCATGAGTCTTTTAATTTTTTTTACAATTGTTCATTTCACTTCCTATTATTTAATGAAAATTTAAAACTACAGGCTGGATGAACATTCATTACCTATTGATCTCGGTACTTAATAGAGAATCAAAAGTCAAGCAAATAAACTGATAGGACAACCCAACTTCAAATATGTAAGAAAGAAAAATATCCAGGCAGACTGCTCACTTCTGCATACTTTTGTGGGAGTTAAGATGCTATGAAGATATATCTGACTGAGTCTAGAGCCCCTGAGGTCCAGTTTTAGTTCTGCTGCTTATAATTAATATAATCTCGGGGACATCAACCACCTTTTCTAGGATTTTGTTCCTGTTCCTGAAAACTTGAGAGGCTT